TTGAACCCAACACCTCTTGATCCATCTTCCTCAAATGGTATAGTGTCTTTATATTGACGACAAATAATGAGGTTAGCTAACATACTGGACACGGTAAAAAACTTTACCAAACGATATGCGTGCTCGTTATTGTATACAATATGGTCACTACTTGCTGTGAATAATTTTTTTGTACTTGCAGAATATTTTGCAGTTTCTTCTACTTCTTTGATAAATTAATAAACCTTGAAAACGTGACCTAGACGCTTTAGTACTTTTGGATACGAATTCATTTAGAATAATAAGTGATAGCTAAAGATTAAAGAAACTCTATGTGTCTAGCATATACAGGATGGCCCATTGAAAACGTGCTAAACAGCATAACTGCCAGGCAAAGATTTTATCGAAAAAACCTGAAACACATCAAGCTTGATTCTCAGGGGGACAACTTTTGACGTAAGAATTGTCTCCATCAAATGGGCATTATTTTATAGGTCTTGTTTTTATTGATACAACACAAAAAAATTTGTTAGAAAGATTTATTTTCGAAATATCCGGCTTTAAAGATACACCACCTCTCATTTTTCACTAAACATAAATAACATTTCTAATAAGAAAATATAAAAAAAAGAAACAGAGAAAAAACCAGATTGAACCAGGTAGGTAATAAAAATTCATTTAGAATACGGTACTCCAAAACATGTGTTGTGATAGCAAGTTTCTTGCCTTTGCGAAGAAACTAAATGAGAAAAGCAAAATCAAAAAAGAATACGTAAGAACAAGACATCCACAAACGAAAAGTAATCTGAACAAAATAACAAAAGAAATCCGAAACGATATTCATAAAATATACCAACGTAGATGAGAAAACAAAATCGACGAACTAAACTCAAATGACTTCAATACTCATGGGTAGAAGAAGCAAACCAAAAATCCCACCACTCAAAACAGAACGGGATTGCAATTACAAACAAAGAAAAGGCAGTAGCATTCGCAAAATCACTAAAAAGCCAATTCAGCCCAAACCAAATAGCTACACAACAAAAATACCCAAAAATAAGTAGAACCAGTCTCTACAGACGAGATAAAAGAAATAATAAAAAGCCTAAATAAGAAAAACCCCAGGAACAAACGAGGTCACAAACGAAGCCCTAAAGCATCTTTCAACCGAAGCAACAGAAGAAATCACAAAAATTGCAAACGCAATAATTAATCTGGAATACTTCCCCGAAATCTGGAAGAAAGCAATAACAAGGAAAACAAACCAAAAAACAACTTCGTACCGGCCAATCAGCCTTCTACCTTCAATAAGCAAAGAATCCTATACAAATGAATAAGACAAGCAGCAGAAGAAAACAAGATCCCCGATCACCAATTCGGATTTAGAAAAGAGCACCCAACAGAACAACAGCTTATCAGAATCACCGAACACATAATAAGCAAAGCAAACAAAATTTAACCAAACAACTACCTTATATTTAATTAGTATAATCAATTAACTAACAATAAACAATAATAATAATAATATGAAGGAAAGAAACCTTTCATCAACTATTCCAGCATTTCAATGATCCGCTGCCTTCGGGTTCTTCTGGGCTCCAAGAGGCCCATCACCAGCAACTTCGACCAAGGGAGGCTCAGCTCGAGGAGGTACAGGGGGGTCACCTTTAAGAAGATCGGAGACATCATTTATCTTAAATTTCCTATTCCAACAGTCCAAACGTTTCTTTTTCCATACACTTCTCTTGCCTGCTGATACAACCTATCTATAGTTGACTCATGTTCTGCGATCTCTTGTGCTTTCTCGGATTATTTCTCGTCTGTTTTTGTAGATGGCACAATCGACAGCTCAGTGATTGCCCATGGCTCTGGGGTTTTGCCGTGGTTTTCCGCTAATGCAATTCATAATGTTCTGTTGCATCTTGACCAGTCGTCTAGTCCTGGCCCGGGTGGTATTCCAACTTTATTCTTAAAAGAGTTTGCTACTGTGCTGTCAACGCCACTGTTTCGTATTTTTTCGAAGTCCTTACTTGAAGGTGTTTTCCCAAGTATGTGGCAAACGGCTTTCGTTATTCCAATATTTAAATCCGGTGTTAAACAGTTGGTATCCAATTACCGTCCTATTTCTATCCTTTCAGATATCCCCAAGGTATTTGAAAAAATTGTCCACGAATATCTTAGTCTGTCTATTTCTCACTCTATAATCAACGAACAACATAGTTTTCTGTCTGGGCGATCGGTGGAGTCTAATCTGTTGTCTTATGTAAACTTTATTCATTCTGTTTTAAACGAGGATATTCAGATTGACGCAATCTACATCGATTACTCCAAAGCCTTCGACAAAATCGATCATACTATTCTTATACAGAAACGTTTCTCCTTTGATATTCCAGATGGCCTTGTTCACTGGATTATGTCGTATTTATCTAACCGAAGTCAAGCAGTCAGGATTGGTAGCTTTATATCTGGCTACAAACCTATCACATCCGGTGGGCTTCAGGGCAGTCATCTTGGACCCTTACTATTCGTAATGTACATAAATGATATTTCTTCGTGTTTTATAAAGGGTTTTCCAATAAGAGAAAGTACGCCATTAATAAAAATGGAACGATACACGCTTCAACAACGCATTGAAATTATTAAAATTCACTATAAAAATGGTGAAATTTTGGCAGAGACGGTTCGAAAAACTCGAACATTTTTGATTTTTGGGTCGTCGTGAAGCACCTTGTCGGACCGCAATACAGAAATTGGTGGAAAAATTCGAGCTGTTGGGACAAGTTAGTGATGTGAAGAATAAAACCCGTGCACGTCGCTCAAGAACAGCCGAGAATATTGCTGCTGTAGCCGAAAGTGTTGAAGAAAACCCAGGTTTGTCCATTCCTCGTCGTTCTNAAGTATGTGGAAAACGGCTTTCGTTATTCCAATATTTAAATCCGGTGTTAAACAGTTGGTATCCAATTACCGTCCTATTTCTATCCTTTCAGCTATCCCCAAGGTATTTGAAAAAATTGTCCACGAATATCTTAGTCTGTCTATTTCTCACTCTATAATCAATGAACAACATGGTTTTCTGTCTGGGCAATCGGTGGAATCTAATCTGTTGTCTTATGTAAACTTTATTCATTCTGCTTTAAACGAGGATATTCAGATTGACGCAATCTACATCGATTACTCCAAAGCCTTCGACAAAATCGATCATACTATTCTTGTGCAGAAACTTTTCTCCTTTGATATTCCAGATGGCCTTGTTCACTGGATTATGTCGTATTTATCTAACCGAAGTCAAGCAGTCATGATTGGTAGCTCTATATTTGGCTACAAACCTATCACATCCGGTGTGCCTCATACTACTCGTAATGTACATAAATGATTTCTTCGTGTTTTATATTTTCTAAGTTTCTACTCTATGCCGACGATAATAAAATATTCACAAGGATCGGGTCTAATCTGGACTGCCTTAGACTACAGGAGGATCTTGACCGCCTGCATGAGTACTGTCGCCTCAACAAACTTCACCTAAATTATGACAAATGCCAAAAATTACATTTACTAGGAAACGTTATCCTCTAACTTTCCTTACAACTTTAACGGTGCTGCTATCCCGTCCACGGATAAAGTAAAAGATCTTGGCATCATATTGGATTCCAAGTTGCGATTTCATCTTCATATTGAATTTATGGTGAAGAAAGCTCTACGTAATTTGGGGTTTGTTATCAGGGTCAGTAAGAATTTCACGAATTTTTTGTGTATAAAAACCCTTTATTTGGCATTTGTCAACAGTGTGCTATGTTATGGTTCCGTAATATGGAACCCCATGTATGCGGTGTATCGTGGTCGTATTGAAGCTATTCAGCGACGCTTTGTACGTTATTTGGCACATAAATTTCATCTTCCTTACTGCGATTACGATAGGCGTTGCGTGGTCTTCAACTTGTTGTCACTGCAGCAGCGTCGAATTGTTGCTGACTTGATCTTCCTCTTCAAGCTTGTTAATGGCATGCTGGATACCCCCGATCTTCTGCCTGAGTTGAGTTTCAATGTACCGCAACGGCTTACACGTTTCAACGCTACATTTCGTCTTGATAGATCTAACACCAACCTTTATCAAAGCTCTCCATTAGTTCGAATTCTTAATTCCTATAACCAAGGCTTCAACCATGTACCTCTCTTTGACGTTTCCTTACGCTCTTTTAGAAAATATGTACTAACTAATGTAACTAATGTATAGCGGATGTTTTGTTGATCGCTTTATCGTTGTATTTATTTTAGTTTATATCACAATTTTTTTTTATATTTATTTTCGTTATTATGAGGATGCTTTGTTGGGGATATTCTCCCCGTTTGCATCCCGAATATGTAATAAATAAATATCGCATTCCAGTGAGATCCTCAGTTATTACTAATTTTGATCCTTTAAGCGTCTTCTTCATGTTCAGAATTTGATATTTGTGGTCTACTCTAGCGAATTTTACTATTATTGCCCTCTTAGCCGTCGTATTTTTCGGCCCCAACCGATGAGCGCATTCAACCGCATCCAAGGGTAGCTTCACATCGAGTTTTTCATTGAAGATACCCATTACAATTGCGTTTGGATCTTCATCCAACTTTTCCTCTATCCCAAAAATTCGAATGTTATTCCGTATGTTATCCAGTTCATCTTCTTATTCTTCTGCATCATATTCTCATAATAAAGAAAGTTATGTCACAAATTAAGTATAATTAAAATGAAGAACTAAGAGACTAGTTTAAGAAGGCCTATGTTATCTTATTTATTTATTATGTCATATATCTTCTTTCAGAATATCCACTCTTCGCTTTTGTTTTGGTACAGAATGGATTTGATCTCCGAAGATGGTTTTACAAAATTTTCTAATTTAACTAATCTATTTCGGGACTTTATTTTCTTGTTAAATGAAAATATTTAGGGGTGACCACTCAAGATTTGTATAAAGATTTTGGAAATTCATTGATTTTTTTTACCTTAACAACGGTTTCTATTGAAATAACATTACGTAATAAAACTGAAATAATGCCAATTGTGGTGAAAGATTTCGTTTGGAGGCAAACTCCAAATACAGTGGTAATTCAAGTGCCTTTGAAAGGAGTACATCAATCAAAAGTGGATATTTTCACGTCCCGTTCTTATATAAAAGCATCCTATAAACCGTTTTTCTTTGAAGCTTTTCCTTTAGAAGCGATCGATCCATTAGAAAGTAAATGCACTTTGACGACAAACGAAATAGTTTTCGAATTATTCAAAATAAAAGCAGGAGACTGGTCTAGTTTAGAAATTGATTTACCTAAACAAGAAAAAAATCGACTTAAAAAAGAATTAATTGAAGAAGAACATAAAAGATTTCAAGATGATTGTAAGGAAAAAGTACAAAGAAAGCACGCATTGAAAAAATTAGCGGTAAGAGAACAAATGGAAATAGACACAAAACAAAGAGCATACATTGAAAATGTAAAGAATACGGAGAAAAAAACTGCTTTAGGTGATTTGGATGTATGGAAGAAAGAAATAAATCCCGAGGAAAGGAAAGCAGATTTATCTTCTTCTGAAAGTGAAGAAGAAATAATTGCAATTCCTACAAAAAAAATTCCACGAAAAATTCCAAATTATATCCCTAAATATAATTTGAAAAAAATCCAAAGCAATAATATTCCATTACCAAGAAAAACCAGCTCTATCGCGGTTGAGTTTACCGAACGCGAACTTCCTACACCGTCGAGAGAATCAAGATTGGCCGAAGAGGAGGAATGGTTTCGAAAGCAAGCGGAAGTTCGTCGTTCCGTTGGATTTGACAGTGACGATTTACGTCCTGAAGAAAAAAATCCAATGTTTTTAAAATCAAAAGGTGACGAATTCCTAAAAAATGAAAATTATCTGGGTGCTATCAGCGCCTACACATTCGGATTAAAACTTTGCGATAAATATGTCGATTTGTATATTAAACGTTCAGAAGCTCATTTCATGCAAGGTAACATGCAACGTACCATCACGGATTGTTCGACCGCTTTGGAATTACTTAAACCGGAATGTTCAGCAAACTTTTTAGATCGCGTTACATGTATCGTTCGAAGAGGTCGGGCTTTGTTTAAATTTGGAATGAGAGAAAAGGCATTTAGAGAAATTGAGATCGCCTATAAGATGCAACCAGACCGCGAAGATTTGAAAGATCTTCTTATTGAGATGATGGATGAAATGAATAATTCGACTACTGAAGATATTAACGATGTGGGAGATCCGCTTATTGAAGTACAAAAGGAAATGCGGAATTTACCTGGAGTATCATAAAAAATAAAAATGAAAACAAAGAATTTTATTGCAAAAGTTATTTTAGTTTGTTATTTGCTTGTTTTGTATGTTGTTATTATTTACAAACTGAAATATTTAAATACGCCATGACTTTTTTTTTCGTTGTTTATTATGTGTTTGCGAGTTTGTTGTAGGTATACTTTGTCTAACAAATGTATTTATATTAACAAGTCTGTATAAATAAAAGTATGATAAACAGTTTTATTGTTATTTTTAATCTTAACATTGTTAATAAGAGTCATCAAGGATCTCGTCTTTTTGTCTGCAAGGATAAAGCATTATCAATCTCTTCCGAGTGTTTTAGTGTTCGAGGGCAGAACTGCCAGCGAAGAGTATTCTTAGTTAAAGAGTAAAAAGTAAAAAGTTTTCCAATATGTCAAGTGTCCAATATGTAATGAAAATTATACGATTAAAAAAACACTGCGAACGTTGTGACACTTTTTAAAGCAGACGCGGTGGCTCTTCAAATTTGACTCTCAACGGGGGTCCTCCAACGTTTGGTGGCCAAATTTGAGACGACTGATTCGGTAATCAATCAGCCAATACCCGTACGACAAAGGAACACCAAATTGGCCATGAAAGTGTGTAGGAGAACCCGAAGCAGTCAATTCCTCGCCGTGCACAAGAACTCGAACTTTCTCAGACTTGAACTTGGAGACTATTGCGATCCTGGAGCTCAAAGTAATTCACAAAGTATAGACACCGTCGTTAGTTCGCTGACTGGATTCGAAGATTTGGAAGAGGACCTCAAAAAATTTTTACAGCAATAATAATAATGATGTTTATTCAATAGTATGAATACAAAATATATAAAGAATATAAAGAAAAATATACATTTCATGTAAAAATTACAAGAAAAGAGTAATAATAATTCCTGAATAAACATATAGTAGAAATGTTCCACTGAAGCAGTATATTGTTACCGTTTGTATGTGGTTTTTCAATCACTTCATTGGTGCAGTCTTGGTCGGTATATTTATCGTAATCTTTGGGCTCATTGAATTGAATTAGGTGCTGATCATTTCAGAAAAAACCGTCGTTCCAGTTTTTTATTTGTTTTTTCGCTATGGCGTCTCAGGTTGGAATGCAATAATTTTCCTATTTCTGGAGGTACTGCATTATACAACTTTGGTGCTATGTAATTTAGGCTATGCTATCCTATTCTTTTATTACATTTTGGAAATTTTGCAGTTATGTTCCTGTTTCTTGTATCATATGAATGATCCATTTGATTCATTAACTGCCTATGTCTGCGTACGTACATTAATACTTTCTGGCTATATATTTGCCTTGTGTCTAATACCTGGCTTATGTTATATAACTCATTTGAAGGTGATGTTATATTTTTCTTGTACATTATTCTTAATATCCATTTCTGTACTTTATTAATTTTTTCCAAATAAGTGTCGTTTACCCCTCCCCAACCCAAAACAGCGTATAACATAAGTAATTGCACAAGGGAGTAGTAAACAACTGTCAGGTGTCTTTTATCCAAAAACTGTGACAGGTACCTAAATTTGCTTGTTAGTCCTCTGATTTTCTTGACAATGTTATTAGTCTGTAAATTCCAGCGTAAATGTTGATCAATAATTATGCGTAAATATTTTATTAATGACGCTTGTGGAATAAAAGTTTCCAGATCAACAACAAGGTTTCCCAATTTTGGCAGATGATTGCTATATGAAGCGAAGGACAGGTATTTAGTTTTTTCTATATTTAACGTTAATTTGTTCAATTGAAACCATTTTTTGACTACTGCAAAATCCTCTTTAGCTTCCATCTTCAGTTGCTCCCAGGATTGGAATCTATAGAATATAGCGCTGTTGTCAGCAAAGCTGATCACTAATCTCTTCAGTTTAAGATCCATTGTGCCTTGTGGGATCCCATATATAGTTGTTTTTGTTTCGCTAATCACACAATTTATGTTAACTGTTTGTTCGCGGTCTGTTAAATAGTTTTTAAATATATCGTACACGTGACCTCTGATCCCGTATGCGTATACCTTTTTTAGCAATATTTCGTGAGAAACCGCGTTAAACGCTTTTGATAGATCGACAAATATGCACATTACAGGAATTTTCTCATCCAACTTCGTATATTTCCCGGGTTAAGGCACAAATTGCATCCTCTGTCGATTTTCCATCTTTAAAGCCAAATTGGTTAGGTGAAATCACGTTATTTTTATCAAAAAACTTCACAAATTTACGCTTTAAAAATTTTTCAAACACCTTCACTAACATTGAAATTAATGTTATTGGTCGATAGTTTTTAGTCAGATGTATGTCATTATTAAATATTGGCTTTATTACTCCAATTTTTAAAGTCTTTGGGAAGTAACCATCACCAAAACACCTATTTATAATTGCAGACAGTGGAGACGCAATGATATCTATGACTTTCATTAGAGTTTCTGCCCTTATTTCATCGAAACCAGGAGCTTTCCCTGGTTTTAGATTTTTACGGCTTCAGCAACTTCCAACTCGTCTGTTTCAGAGAGGTATATTGAACTTTGTACATATGTGATATTATCTTGAAAATCTATCGGCTGATCAATTTTGTTAGCGTACTCTATTCCCAATCCACTAAAATAGTTATTGAATACGTCGGCTATCTTCTTATCTCCATTCACTACCTCAGCCTGTACCTTAATATGTGTTATTTTGGTTTCAGTTTTCTTTTTTTACAAATATCATTAACACAAGTCCACAGTGCCTTTGTTGAGTTTTTGCTTTTATTTATTGTGTTGTTTATATATTCTCTTTTGTGTTTCTGAATATCACGTGTTAACTTGTTTTTAAGTTGATTATATAGGTCATTTTTCTGTTCAATCAGTTTAAGTAAATATTTGGTAATCCACGGTATTTTTATTTTTTTTTTAAATCCCTATTCTTTACAGTTTTTGTTGCGGTTTTTATGTTATGCTTCAGTACGTCTATAAATTTCTCGGTAACAGTGTCCAAGTCACTTATTTCTCTTATGAAATTCCAATTTTCCAGTTCTCAATTCTCTCGCATCTCTGTGTAATTCACAAATGATTTACACGGAGTCTTTTCCATAATGTTTTCCAAATTATTAGAGTCAGTCAGTTGAATTTGAAGAATTATAGGATCATGATCAGTCTCGTCATTTATATAGATATACGACTTGCATATCGTTTGCCAACCTATTCTGACAAAATAGTGGTCTAAGTAAGAATTACTTACTCTTCTTGTGGTCTCATTAATATATGATACAAAATCGAAAGTATTCATTACAGTTTTGTATTCTTCTACATCAGGGTCATTTTTTTCTAAAAGGTCTATATTAATGTCTCCCGTAATGATATGTGTGTATTTCTTATACCTCGAATGATATTTCAACATGTCACTGTTAAATTTCTTTACAGATCCGCTAAGAGACCTATATATTGCTGTCAATATTATTATTCATACGAGGGAATAACTGTAGGCAAAAACATTGCTAATGGAGGCCATACACCATAGGGTTTGCATGATGGTTTTAGCTTTACATGCATAACCGACAGGCAAACCCTAGCGTGTATGTGATAAAACTGTACAGTTATCGGCGCATGTACATGCAACCAAGCAAATGCATAAACAGGCGTGTGTGGCGTCCGGCGAGCTTGTATGCACAGTTCTCAGACTTCTCAGTTTGTTCTCATTTCTCAGTGGTTCTCAGTTTATTGTCTGCGACGGTGGAAGATCGTGCGCGCGTACCATCGCACTCGTATGACACTTTAAGACACTCGTATGTTCTTCCTGTAGCAAGAAATCTTAATGTTGCTGCTAGTCTCTCATGTGCCGATATTAAATTTCTCATAACAGTATCTTGTCTTTGTATTAACGGAGTGATCAATGATAACAGTTTCAAATAAAGATTTTCATCCATTCGTAAATAATTTTTGTAATCTGTTGGTGTAAATCTCAATTCATTTAACAAATTTACGTGACAGAACTGCTTTCTTTTCAATAACCAGCATTTACACCATTCCGAGCGAGTTCTTCTTCTTTTTCTGTTCTGTAGAACAAGTGTTAAGCCAAGTACAGCTATCAGATCGTCGTCGTCCATTGTTAGTTTGGTATACCGTGCACAATAGTGTAGATAACTGTCCTACACACACCGTCACGTAGCTCCAACTGTCTTTAACTGAGAGTTTATGGCAAAACTGTGCATGCCAACCCTAACGTGTACAATATGAAACTCGGTTATACCTGTCGGTTATACATGCAAGACTAAAACCACCATGTAAACCCTAAGGTGTATGGCCTCCATTATGTAGACAACCACTCTGTTATGAGCGTTTAAGTTTCCGTAGTTATAGATGATGTTGTATCCTTCAATTGAATACAGACTTGGATCAGTAATCCTGAACGTTTTAGATAATACAATGACATCAAAGTTAGTGTTTAAGCTAGTTAATTGTTATGGTTTGTTATATAACAAACCATAACAATTATTTTATTTATTTTTTACCTCCTATTTTGGAGGCATTATTCCCTTCTTTTGGAGAGTAGGACTGGTTCGCAAAATAGTTTCAATCTGGGTTGAGTTCTTTTGTTAACATTGTCAACAATATTTTTTTGGTGTGCAATGGTTATTTCCCGGATGAAATTATTGTTGTCTACTAATTCCCGTAAGTACGGTGTATAGTTCATTAGATAATGGCTCAGCTAATTTCATTATTACTCTGGATGACGTCGTTTGGGATTGATCCGTATTCCTGCTGGCGTAATATGTTACGTGCTATGTATGTTATAAGAACGTATAAGTATAGCTTCCATAATAACACAGCTTGAACATTTTAATGCCATACGTAGGACGTTTTCCTTTTAGATATTAGTGCATAACAGCTCGGCTACGGAAGTGTATTGACCAGGCTCTGAATTTAGTGGAGTATGTTATTTTGGGGATTGTCTTCGTTATCCGCAAAGTGCACCATTCTCAAAAGTAATTCGTACCTGTTCTAGGAGATAGCTGCAGAAGCAAATTCGTTTTGAAACATTGCCTCCCATTGGTTCCAATAATCTGCTAGATGTGGTAGGCGAACTATACCCCTATAAATAAATAATCCAGAAACACTTCATTTCGTAGATATCTGTCGAAAACCAATCGCATACTCTTGAATGAGATCCCCTTGAATGAGACTGTTGTTATTCTCAATGGTATGTGTGGCATATTGGCATATAGATGAGTTTGCTCGGCAATATACTCAAATATGTTGTGGTCAACCAATAGAACTCGACATATTCCTCTTCAATTAGAAGCTAGGCCAGATATTTTTTGTTATCTGATTCTTTCATTAATGGGATAAGAGCGGGTTGCCTACTTTGGAAATTTATCTATTCAGGGTCGCCTATATTTCTGGTCGCTATCGGAGTTCTATGTTAGTTGAAGTCATAGGTTTCTGTTTCTTCGGTTTGGAGTTCTGATTTTAATAAGTGTACGAAAATATCGTCGAGAATAACGAATAATTTTCTGATACATCACATACTTTCGCTCCACACAAATTATTCAAGATATCCACAAGTTCTTGGTCGATTTATGTCCTAATTTTGATTCCGTGGCATATTTTTGTACCCACAACATCCAAACAAAGCTGAGCTAACACCTACTTTCACACATGTTCGTAAATGCGATCACACTGCCGTAAACATGTAATATTTCAGACAGCGTCGACTCAGTCATTATGACCCAGATACATTTCCACGAATATCTTTACAGTGGTGTTAAATATTTGAAAATTTTTATCGTGGATCACATTTGCACATCAGGCACAAAAAATAAAGATTTTGTTCACACTTGATATGTGTCTCCAGTTCTACACTAAAAATACGTAAAAATGTTCTTGCAGTGAACATGTTAAACGATGTTTTGAATAATAAAAACTCAATCTCATATAAAATTATTTCGCGAAATATTAGTGGCTATAAATTTACTTGCTTTTTAAGACCGGTATTACAGAGTTTACACTTGCATCTATACTAACATAGCGTAAAAACCTATATTTATAGCGATACATGCTACATAGTTACACACATACTTTTGTATGCTTGTGCTTGATTGATAAGTGTAAGAACTTGACTGAAATTTTCAAATAAGGGCAGTCAAACCGCTCTATTGAAAACTATTAAACAAATACTATAAAACATAAATTTAATTCTTTTGCAACAAATGTAAAGACAAGCAGAAAAAAGTTTCCCTTTTTAAGTTTTATAGTGTTGTTCTAGAGTCTATGACTTTCGACTAGATCAGTGAGCAGAATTTTACATAATGATTTACACGTACATCTGTACAAGATTCAAATAGTCCATGCTTTGAAATCTCGAGATTATCCTGTGTGTCTTGGTTTTTGTGAACGCATGAACACGTGAACTCATTAACTTCACGAACAACCTCTCCTCATTCGGCCAAAGTTACAGTTTGGTGTTCGATGTTTTCAAATAGCATAATTCTTCTTCTTTGAGAATGATGAGTTGCAGTTACCGTAACATCAGTGTGATATATTCGAGTGCGGGAAACCTTTTTCATTGGTTTTCCTGGATAGTTAGGAGGAGTTTCATATGTTCTTTAACATTCCAAACATTTGTTCAGCTTTCTTTATTCTTTAGACCACGTCCGCCTCTGCTCGTCCGTGTTTTGTTACCATACAACCTTGGCAGAAGAAGTTTTCAACCTCCTATATGTTCTCGTCGTATGTTGCAAGTGCTTGAGCGTTGTATGTGTTGATGTGCATTAGTGATGTTTTCTTTGTATTTATCTCTAGCCCTACTTGCCTGCACCATTCTGTTACTTTATTTAGTCTTGTTTGCATGTTTGCGACAGAAGGCATATGTCGTCACCATTTAACTCCCCTTCATTTCTATTCCCTTTAACTCATTTAGTTTGTTTAGGAAGTTCTGTCTTGATTACAGCATCTTGCTTTTTGCGTCGTTTCGATTTTCGTCTCCATTTCTATCTTTCCCAAAATTATCCTGCCGCATGTTTCAGTGTGGAAAGCAATTATGTAATCTACACATGACATGTTAGGACGAAAACCTGCTTGTTTCTTCCTTAGCTTTGCCTCTATGACTTCTAACCTGCTTCTTAAGATTTAGGTTAGTATTTTGTTGGTGGTATTTAGAAGTGTGATGCCTTGCCAGTTACTGCATGTACTTAGGTCTCCTTTTTGGGAAGTTTGATACGTTTGGGAAGTTGTGTTGCTTGTTAGTTCTGCAATATACTGTTTCTATCTTGTTCTAATTTGTTTTTCCTCCACTGTTATAATGTTACCCTACGCTAAACAATGAGTTTCTTATTGGTTTATTGTTATAGGCGATACCACCAGAAACGCGAATGACTCATCGATTTCCGTTATTATTTTCCGCATACGGTGCAGATATTATGCCGATAAGTTGGAGTGAAATGGCTTATCATGAATGTTATATTTCGTATCTTTTCGTGCGAGAGTCATTCGCACTTCTGGTAGTATAGAGACTATAATTCTTATTATGTCCACTGTTAACAGTTTAATCTATAATTACTATATTGTGTTTTTAAGATAACAAGAAAACGAAATTTTGAAAGGTTTAAAAAGCTTTATTTAAAAAAAATTACAAATAAAATATAATTGCTATGTTTTGTCTTAATGATAGCAATAGTGGATAGGCCTAAAATAATCCGAAGATATTTAACAGACCATATAAATGACTAAGAACTCTAGTTTTAATTAGTTTATTATGCGAATCAAATTTAAGTTATAAATATTGAAAAAATCATTGTAAATAAGAATATGTATTTCACTTAATCTTTAAAATAAAAACTAAAATGTAACGTAGGTAATAGTTTGATATCTTCGGCAAAAAAAATCATAATCCTTTTATAACGTATGATGATATGGCGCTGGTGTTGGTACACTCATTAACGGAGAATTTATATCGATATCCATATCAGCTTGAACCACTGGCTCTTGTTGTGCGTTAATCTTTTCGTGTAACGCGTGATAAAGAGTATGGACTTTTTCGCTGTGTTGATGCGTCGGTTGTAGGGCCTTTATTAAAGTGTGCAATCGATTGCTTGGCAATTTCGGATAAACATACCATAATAACTTCAATAAATGCCTTGCAACATTATCTCTTTGTAGTCCCGCAAAAAAGAACTCGTCAAAGAGACCGGTGCAAAAATCAGCTGTTCCAAACTCTTCAGGAACATGTATTAACAAACCAACCTATTAAAGAAATAACCGTTAAAAAAATGTTAAAAAAATAGTTGAAATTATTTACTAGTGAATGTAAAAATGGATCTTCAAAAGCTCTATCATCTTTACAATTGGCTAAAACTGCTAGTATTCTTAATAATCCAACTCGATCTTTGTGTCTTGTAACATGAAGTGTGTAATACATTGCTAATAAACTGGCTACAGAGCTTTCTTGAATGTAAGCTTCTACAGCGTCTGGAAGTGGACCTGCATGTTCGATTATTGTTATGGCAGCTTCTCTTTCGTCGTGAGGAAGTTTAGTGGATAATTGGCGTACTTGATCGTCAACCATAAGCGACATTAAAGCAGGTAAGAATTTTGTAACTATTTGACTATCCAATTTTGGTTCTTTAAAATCTTGAGAATCAATCATTACCCAAGCGCTTAAACCTAACGCCAACATTCGAAGTAGTAATATAAGAATGGGGTTATCCTAAAAAAAAGATTAAGTTTATTTTATATTTTTGTAGAAGAATTGTGTGAAATAAGATTTGAAAATGGAAAATTTCTTAAAAGTTGTAAAATTTTTTCTGATTTAACAAATTGGTTCTGGATGTTAATAACAAATTTTTTGGTGAAACTTTAATGTTATAAATTTACATGCCGCCTAGAAGACTTAAAGGACCATCAATTTATTTCTTAATGATTTCACTTAAGCGCAAATAAACAGTACATTTGTTAATAGCTTTTAGAATGAATTCTTTACAGCTGTCGATACCACATTAAGCAAGTAAATAACTATTTATGTTAAAGATATTATTTTGATATCAATTTTTCAGAGAAAATTTCACGAAAATGGTAACGAAATGTTAACAAATCTTGTTAGAACCAAGTGTTCCGATTAAAGCCATTAAAATCTATCAAGCCTGGTGTTAGAAAGTTACGAATTATCTTCGTATATCGCTCGGAATTTATGGTTACTATACAACCTAAGCCGTGTTAAAAGCAATACGACCCGATACTTCTTTGCGACGACAGTGCAGCTCAAACCGTTAACCTTTGGAGAGTGAAGTGGAAAATCCGTTCGGGATTTGTTGAACTCTAGTAAAGGCAGTTCTGTTTGTTAAAAATACGCCTCATTGGAGAATAAGATGTTGTAGAACCCGAAACCGTTATAACATTTCATTCGCGAAATTAAGCGTCTGGACAGCATCAGTTGGCTTTAATTCTTGCACTAGCTATATCTTATAGGGGTGGAAGCGCAAATCTTTCTGCAATATGCGATGTGGGCAAATTTTAGGAACATTTAAGGCGTTTGCTCTTTTGTGAACCGGAAGATCGCGAAACCAACAAACCGACTATCGCACGAGTTTCACATTTCCGCGATTTTTGACTACTTAATCTATTTCAAGTGATCCATGTTGCAAGTATAGAATAATTTTAAACAGAAAACTTTTACTTCAAAACTTGCTTTTATTAAATATGCTCACTACATGTTTCGAGACAAACCTCTCATCTTCAGCTGAATCTAATATGTATAAAGATTGGATACAATATTAATATACATTACTAACAACAATTTTAAAAAATAAAAAAACTTACGTCATAATTAACTATATAAAACCTATGTAGAATGTGAAAAAAATCATAATACTAGTCGATTAACTACAAAAAACGAATTAAAATCGATTACGAATAAAAAACTTATTAAAATATTAAAAACCTACTAAAAATAGAAGAAAAACGAAAAATAATTTGAGAAAATTGCAAGATGAGTGGCGGACGAAAAGAAAGCCGGATTTATATTTGTCTGACGTGTCCTGTTGTGACACGTCAGAACAGTATCGGTTGAATACATTTACTATGGTGAGATTTATATTTGTGTGTCGCAATGTGTTGTGGTGCCTTGTGTTGTGTCGCATCAGCAACGATCCCGATGTCCGTCAGAGCAGTGGAGTGGGAAGTGACGCATAACGACAGATCAGACAAGTGTACACCTGTCTTATGACTCGTCAGATTTGCGTTTCTTCTTTCTTTCGATATTAAATTTAATTACATTTAACATTATCAGCATCGCTCTCAAGCTCTTTTTGTTCAGTGGATGAATCCAATATCTTCTCTCTTTTTCTTTTTTTTAGAACAGTTGCCAGTACCATTAAATGAATATCTTCTTCATCATTTGAATCAGAAGATTCATGGGAAAACATTATAGACTCACGTATGAACTCTCTAAGTGCTACGATTGTATTGATTCAAAATATCGCCAGAGTGCATCAGAACACAACATATAAAAGTGAACACTAACCATTACGTCAGAGCGCATACAACACGTCATACAAATATAAATCCGGCTGAAGAGACACGACTGACGACAAACACGACAATCAAGGTTACGAAAGAGACAAAGACCAAAGTCGCAAGAGAGAGGAGGAGAAATTTCAAAAAGAAAAGCACTCACAAGAAGAGAAAAGAAAATCATGACGACAAAAATCGGGAATCAATGAATCACGAGTCCAGATTTTTTAAAAACATAAAAAGATGGGTTTATATTGTACATATTTGAATTTGATCATTAAGCAAATTTACATTTTTAGATTTATGTTTCAGAATTTCTAAAGTTTCAAGAAGATCAAGTTTGTAACTTTTATCACATTTATGTATTAATGAAATATTGTCATAATGAATTCTATGTCCGGTTTCTTTAGTATATTTATAAACATTCGAAGTGATTTTAGTTTTATGTTCATAGACACTTGAATCACAGATTTGAATCACGTGTCCAGAAACGGTGGTTTTTATCAATATTCTCTAAGAGTGATAAAAGTTTCTAAACTAAATTTACTATTAGAAACTACAAAAATAAATGTAGGATTATGATAGAACAAAAAGTTCTGAGCAAACAAACTTTAGGAACAGCCTGTGTAGCATTGTTCCCGAGTACCAATCCAACTCAAAAATTGCCTAATGATTTTACGTGATATTAGTTTACACTGTAAATTTCAACGCTTTACCATAAATAGTGTTTAAGATATTTAGAAAAATGTGTTAACATTTTCTAACTTTGATGGCCTGTATCTTTGCAATTTGAGGACCTTTACTATTTTTTTTTACATGAATCGTCATCATTTTCATTCTAGTATATGTGGTTACATTTGTTCCCCGAGTCACCGAAACACCCTGTATAGTTAATTATGACGTAAGTTTTTTTTAATTTTTTTAAATTGTTTAGTAATGTATATTAATATTGTATCCAATCTTTATACATATTAGATTCAGCTGAAGATGAGAGGTTTCTCTCGAAACATGTACTGAGCATACTTAATAAAAGCAAGTTTTGAAGTAAAATTTTTCTGTTTAAAACTTAATCTATTGTCTCCTCGTACTTCTTTACCCATTTTTAGATGAGTTGAGTTGAAGATGCTTCTAATCTGACGTAAATGATAAAGATTAGAAAAATTTCGTCTACTTTTTGCCGAGTAAACCAACCAAACTCCCAAGCACAGGGTTAACGATTGGCTTGTCGCTCAACGGGTGTGAACACAACAAATTGAAAAAAACTTTTAGCACCCAGTATACTGACTGTACATCTGTGCATATAGCCCAGTAACAAAAAAATAAATCGGTACAGTGTAGCGAAACAACTTCTATGATCAATTAAAAAGAATGCCTAAAAGTAGAATATCCCATGCCGAAAACTCTAAAAGTATGAAAATTACGTGGTTATTGTTGATATTCATCTTATTCAAAAATTGAAGAAAATGAACTAAAATGGCTTACATTTAACATTCTCGTGGTGTTATGGGGACTAATACACTGACATAATTTGCAAAACGTCCACAATCTACCGACTTTCACAAAAATTATAAACAAAATTGTTTTTATTGTTTTTTAAGGAATGGTGAGCGAGAATGGCATTAATAAAAATTGTTTTTAATAAATCACATAAACATAATTCATAAACGATCCTAAAATTTCGGAACTAACTTTCTTAGATAATAGAGATGAAACAAGTATTTTTAATAGATTAACAAAACGTAATGCGCAAGCAAATACAATCCAACTATAATTACTAACAATGTATTGCGTTTGAAATCCCACACATTTCAAATTTGATGCATTTATCAACAAATCACAAGAACATAATCTACAATTATTGCATTAATGAATTAATAGATTAATCCCCATTAGGCCAAAAAACCTAAAAAAATTCCCAAATCACAGAACATTTTCCAAATACAGTGTCAACTTTATCGCATTATTATAATGTAACTGTGTGTTTTTAACGTCAGTGACTGTAATGTAAAGTGCATTTCTTATTAGCTTCGTTTAAACTCTAAATGGAAATGTTTTTATTGGAGAAATATTTGAAATGGTTCCAAAACATTTGTCAACGAAATCCCTAAATTATAACATCCAGCTGGACGACTCTAACCTGAGAAAACACTTAAAAACATAGCTACAATCAAAGCATTAGTGCTCTCCAAAGCGTTCTGCTTGGAAGCATGCACTTCCTGTCCTGCATTTGGGATATCGGATCGAACGATGAGGCGAATATTGTGCACTGATCTGTAATTACGTCTTAATAACGTTATTATTGCTAAAGAATTATGTCAAGCAGGTGGGATGTAGAAATTGTTGTAATATGGTTGTCAATTCCAATGGCATTAAGTGAACAATTTTCTGCTATTTCATAGGGCAAAAAGTAAGAAAATATTTGCTATTTGTGGTAATAAGCTTTCCTTTGCAACGCAGAAAAGCTAAAGGAAAAAATCCTCAGTTCGTGAGGAAAATGTCGAGATTCCTTCACTAGTATATGTAATTTCGTCAAATTATCTCTAACTATAAAAAAGTTTGAACAATCCCCTTTTACGTGAATATCGCTGTAACGAGAGATCATACTAAAAAATTGTACGTTGGCTTGAATATCATTTTTACATAACCTGTATTACCCTGTAAAATACCAGATCATTCATCTGGAGTAGGTAGTTTGAAGTATTGCAGGAGGCCAAATCAAAAAACCAAAAGCAAGATTTTGATTGTGATCCAATTGTGTTTTAGTTAGGGAACAGGCTGGAAGCCAAACAACAAGTGTTATGATATTAATTCCAATTATGTTATTAAATGTAACGCACATTTGTTTAAAGGTCCAAGGAGTAAGCTTCAATTAGGATCGCAGGCAACCGATGTTTGTTATTTTGATAGAGTATTAAAACTTCATAATTTGATATATAAAACACTAGGGTTGACAGATTTGTGTAGTCCTACTAGTACAAAGACCTGCATAAATGGGTTCATTCGCCCGAATGAACAATCTAAAAGAAAACGAATGGTGAATCAACACTAATTGTAAGACATCAAGAGCACGCTGCAATGTAATACGCAAATACGTTACAGTGTTGTCCTACAACATAAAGCAGTAGGCGTCTCTGTCAAGTCTAACGAATAGCAGCGAATCGTTAAAAGTATTCGCGAATCATTTAGAATGATTCATGT